CAGATGGAAAAACACAGAAAAGGGGCAACACAGAGAAGTTAAGCAATTAGCCCACAGTCATACAGCTGATAAGTAGCAGAGCCAAGGATTCCAGGCAGTCTGACTCCAGAGTCCATGTTCTTAACACATTATGCTGCATTTCTAAAGTTGAAGGTGGGAGAGAAACTAATGTTTTTTAATGCTATAGATTGATCTAGAAGAACCCCAATAGTATTTTGACATTACTTGTGAAACTCATAAATGTAAATGCCAGCTAAAAGCTGTCATAACATTTATAGTTGTTCATTTCCTTTATGGCTGATAGTTAATTCATTCAGATTGTTAGGTAACAAGGATGCAAAGATGAATTAGAAATGGTTGCTGCTTTCAAGAAACACATAGTCTAGAGGAAGAATAAAACTATACCAAATGGTTTAATAGAGAACAATAAGGACTGGGGTAACAATATACACAGGCTAGCATGTGAGCACATTGAACAATTAAATCATAGGGTAACAAAGAAAGCTTCTCTGCATAAGTGTTATTTGTGTTGGATCTTGATGGATGAATAGAACTTAGAAATACAGGGAATGGCAGAAGCCAAGCAACTAATAAAGGAGAATGCAACACATTTGGGGAATTGCCAATTTTTCATTAGGACTGGGTTATCATGTATACACAAGGAAGAAGTAGATGAGGTTAGAGACTTAGAGGCTAAATCCTGATTCTTACATGATAAATTGAGGAGCTTGACCCTTTCTCCTAAGCTGTAGGGAGAGAATGAAACCTTAATCAGGGAGGGGTGTGTGTGTTTTCTTGAGAAAATATGTCAAATATGAAGGACAGAATAGAGGATAAATGGATCAAATATATAGACATATTTTGAAACTATGCCAATAAATAATCCAGGCAACAAATTATGGAACTCTAAATTGAAGCAATGGCAATGTAAATGGATAAGAGGAGAAAACCTGAGAGGATATGTAGGATGTAGCATAGACAAGATAAAGATCGCATTGTTAGGGAGGGCATGACAGTGAGTTGTCCTGCAGAGTGGTGACCAAATCCTAGTTCAGGGACTAGCTGCATCAAAATGGCTTTTAAAAATAGATTCCTCATCTTCACCTCCATAAATTCTGACTTAGCAGGTCTGTAATAGCAACCAAAAATCTGTATACCTTGGAGGTTTATGAGTTTATTCTACAGTAAAAAGGATTGAGAACCATTGCAATGCCTAAGTTTATGGGTTGGATGCCTAAGAGATAACTAATGTGATAATAAAAATTGCAAGAGATTTTTGGCTGAGGGGGAAAAAAGATGTGGACGAATTTACCTTTGAATCAAATTTTCCTAGGGGAAATCTGGGTTGATCTAGGAATATAGATTTGGAACTCAAAAGAGATATTTTGTTTGAAAATAAATGGTGGTAGATAAAGCTATGAGTTTGGGAAGTCATCCCATAGAATATACGGAATAATGAAAAAGATGGCCTGAGGATTAGTAACACTAAGGATGAGGAACACTGTTATTTTTCACAAGCATTTAGGGAGTCATTGGAGGAAGGAGTCTTCAGAGAGAGTTAAGAAGACAGGACTATTGTCATAGAAACCAGAGAGGCCAGAATTTCCATAGAAAGGAGAGGGCAACATGAACATATTGTAGACATTCAAATAAAGTAAATAAGAGCAGAAAAGTGCTCACTGATTTTTAAGATGGTGACCCTGGTGGCCTACAAGAGTAGATTTAGTTCCATAGTATAGAAGGAAGCCAAATGATGGTAAAATAAGAAGGAAAATGGGACACCTGGGTGGCTCAGTGGTTGAGTGTCTGCCTTTGGTCCAGGGCGTGATCCCAGAGTTCCGGGATCAAGTCCTGCATCGGGCTCCCTGCATGGAGCCTGCTTCTCCCTCTGCCTGTGTCTCTGCCGATCTCTCTCTCTCTGTGTCTCTCATGAATAAATAAATGAATAAATCTTTAAAAAAAAAGAAGGAAAGAAATGTAAGAAATTAGAAACCCTAAGTAAAGATGAATATTTTAAGAAACTTGTCAATCAAATTTCTTAATAACAGAAGAGAATAACAGCTACTAGGTTTAAGGGAAGAATTTTTTTTTCTTTTTTAGAACTAGAAGAGGCATCATGCTAAGGAGAAGAAATTGGTGAAGAAAAGAGATTGACAGATACTGGAGAGAGAGGACAATTAATGGGAGTAATTCTTTTAGGAAGACAGAGGTAATAGAGTCTAGAGTACAGTGGGAGGGATTAGCTTTAGATGGGAGAGGCAATACTTCCATTAAAATTAAAATACAGGTGAGATGGGAATGGATGCAAGTAAGACTTTGGCATGAGAGATAAAAGTTGAAGAAGTTCTTGATGGTTCTGCTTGTTTTTTTTTAAGATTTTATTTATTTTATTATTTTAAAAAGAGCAAGAGAGTGTGCATAAGCAGGGGCAGGGGAGGAACAGAGGGAGAGAATCTCAAGAAGAAACCGTGCTGAGTGTGAAGCCCATGTAGGGCTCTATCTCCTGACCCTGAGATCATGACCTGAGCCAAAACCAAGAAACCATCATTTAACAACTGAGCCACCCAGGAGCCTGATGGTCTGTTTTCTTAGTGATAGAGGAGAGCCTGTCTGCCTTGCTCAGGAAGATAATGTCTAACAGGTACCAACTTCCTCAGTAGATTTGATGGAATGCCTAGAGCAGTATCTCTCATGTATACAGTTAAGTAGCCAAATGAAGAAATAGACAATTAAATGTTTATCATCAGATGATAATATATGCCCACAGAAGTAGAATAATGAAGTAGAATATGTGCTCATAGAAATAGAAATATGAAGTAGAAGTATGAAACCAATGTTCTGGATTAAAGTGGACATTACAATGAAAAGATTGAATCAAAAAAGGCTGAAACACATTTATATTGAGGAACACATAATACAATATTTTGCATTAAAGGATTAGTTTTTAGTTTATGCATAGCAGTTGAGATATACCATTGTATTAGACGTGTCTGATGTTTCTTTGCTCTCAGTGTTTATTTGAAGAGATACAGCTAAGCCTTTGGTACCCTTGATATAATGATAAAAGCAAGACAAGGTAGTCTGTAATGTTTCCTGACCTCTACTTTGTCCCAGGGCCATTTATCCATTAGAAACCACTGGCGCACTGCCAAAGACCTATGAAAACATTTGCAAACTGAAAAAAGTAGAAGCTTCAAAATATGTAAATGAATCTACAAAACTAAAATTAATAAGATTCAATTTCATTAACAGTCAAATTTATTATTCATAAAACTGTCATTGACACATAAAAATAATTTGTTGCTTAGGTTTTCTCACTTAAAAAATCTCATGATATGCACAGTGATTTGCTAGAAATCATATCATAGGCTAACTAATTTACTTTAGCAAAATAATTTTAAATAAAAAATGTAATTCCTCTAAATTGCCGCTGTGTGTGTGTGTAAAATGTGATGATGTGGTGAATCCTAAAATGTCTGATGTGATGTTGAAGATGTGTGACAAGTGAGAGGTGTAGGAATCTTACTCTTTAAAAAAGACCTGCTTTCTGGTCCCTCTCACAAGTAAGCCATGTACCCCAGTAGCCCCTTGTATAACTTATCCCTTCTTCAAAATGGCAAACCCACTCACTTCAATAAGCTGGTTCTTACAGTTATTTGCTTTTCTATCCCTTATTGAGAAATAGAAACTTTTGTTCCCAATAAAAGAAATTTTGGTGAAAATATGGAAGCCTTCTCCACCCCCCTTGAACTCATATTATGCTTAAGGAAAACACAGAAACTAAAATTCCTTTAGTTGTTTTTAGGATATACAAGCGGAATGGTTCCTGGATTGGAAAAGACAACACGTAGTGCCCAGATAATCTAGATTCTCTTCTAAAATCTGTCCCGTACTCTTCAATAGGAGACCCAGAAAGTCTGAGATACTCATAACTGTGCTAACACCCTTGCCTACATATCCCCTCTCCAATCTGCAACGTCAGGGTATATGGTTTGTAACAAGGAACATTCTGCCTGCAGGTCCATGGCCCAGAAGAGTCCAAGAGTAGAAAAGACTGCTAAAAGAAACCAAGTGCTAAATATAATGAGCTTTTGGCAATAGAGTCCTTGACCCTTGTCTTTGCATGTATTATTGCCTTTATGAGATAATGATTGAATTATATAATATGGGAGAAATAGCATAGACATTTTTGAGCTTGAAAAAGAACCTTAGTGTTGACATTGGTGTTACTTAGAAATATTGATGAATTCAGTACTTTCTGTGAACCATACAATGTTTACATCTAAATGCCACCAAAGCCCATTCAAATCACTAAGCAAAAATATGGAGGGAGCTTTGGGTTAACATTCTGATTTTTGCCTCTACTCTGCTCCTAGCTATTTGTGGTGCATTGAAAAGGTACTTTGTGTCCTGATGTATAACATTCAGGACCTCAAGCCTAATATGGACTGCCTGACCCCAGATGTAATTTTCAGCAATATTAATTGGCTAGAGAATATGGATTATTATGACAATAGGACTCAGCCAGCTTGGCAACTGCTCCTTCTGTGCCTGATCACCTTCTAAGTGCTGTATTAAGAGTCTTGGATCATTGACCAATTTATCTTGAATGCAATTAACTATGCAAATGTGAACTCTTCACACTTACTTTCATTAAAATTATATCACAACAAAAAGAAAATAGATATAAATCAAGCCAGTGCCCTTGCTTCAAGTCTGAGTCACATCTGGTTCAACTCCCCTTTATCATGCATTTAAACATTCCTAAGGTCCACACATATCTGGGAGTTCTGATCATGTGAACTTCTGTCTAAAAACAACTTGGATTCTCTATAATCCTGTGATTTATTCCATGATCTATACAGTTCTATTTTGTACCCCAAATAGTAATAAAAATGTGGGTCTCTTAACTTATACCTAAATAATCAATTTTATGTTTAAAATTTAATTATTTTGGAGATCTCTTTTTTACTTTTTAAATAGGAATTTACTGACTGAAAATGACAGAAAAAATCTTAGAGAAGTTAGATATTCTGGATGAGCAGGAAAAGATACTCTTGGCCAGAAGAACAAAGGTTTGTAAATGAAAGCTTGAATTAAATTTAATCATTAAACTGTTATCATTTCAAATGTGAATGATTATCTTTACTTTTTAGTTAATGACACAGTAATATGGAGATATAAGCTAATTTGTAAAAAGTAAATAATTATATTAGTTCAAAAAGTTATCTATGTAAGTATACATTAAGAATTAATTAGATATACAAGGTAACTTTTGGATAGCTGCCATATTTTTTTCTTTCAAGATCTTATTTAAATTCAAGTTAGTTAACATATAGTGCATTATTAGTTTCACAATATGGTTCAGTGATTCATCAGTTGCATATAACACCCAGTACTCATTACAACAAGTGCCCTCATTAGTGCCCATCACCCACTTACCCCATCCACCTCCACCTCCCCTTCAGCAACCCTTAGTTTGCTCCCTATAGTTAAGATTCTCTTATGGTTTGCCTCCCTCTCTGTTTTTCTTATTTTATTTTTCCTTCCCTTCCCTTATGCTCATCTGTTTTGTTTCTTAAATTCCACATATGAGTGAAAGCATATTTGTCTTTCTCTGACTTATTTTGCTTAGCATAATATACACTCTAGCTCCATTTGCATCATTACAAATGGTAAGGTCTCATTCTTTTTGATGGCTGGGTAATATTCCAGTGTGTGTGTGTGTGTGTGTGTGTGTGTGTGTGACATCTTTTTTCTTTTTAAAGATTTTATTTATTCATTCATGAGACACACACACACAGAGGCTGAGACAAAGAGAGAGAGAGAGAGAGAGAGAGAGAGAGAGAGAGAGAGAGGCAGAGACACAGGCAGAGGGAGAAGCAGGCTCCTTGCAGGAAGCCCATTGTGGAACTCCACCCGGGACTCTGGGATCACGCCCTGAGCCAAAGGCAGACGCTTAACCGCTGGGTACTAAGAGCCACCCAGGCATGCCGGTTCTATCATATTTTAAATCCATGTACATTCAGGTAGGGAATTGGTAACTAGAATCTAATTGATTGTGGAGTTTTGCCTAAGATTATTATAATGCCTTCAGCTCATAGGTTTGCACAAAGGTGACATTAGCTTCTTAAATAAAGGGGAATTGATTTCAGAAATGTTACCTACTCACCAATTTATAATCAATAAAATTTATAAAGCATGAATCATATAAAATTCTTAGAATACTACCAGTATCTCAGTTAATATTTATGGGAAGAGTATTATGTGCCAGATGCTACACTAGAAACTTCTAATGACATATTTCATCCTCCATCTTTTATTAATCTGTAATCTTTAATTAGTATCTATGGGAAAGGTATTATCTTCAGTTTTAGGAATGATAAAACTCAAAAAATTACATGATTTTCCCAATATCATACAATTATTAACTATTAATAAAATGAAAACCATTTTCTCTTTGGTAAAAAACATTTGGTAAAATGTACACTAAATTGAAATGGAGTCTCTCAGTTCAATAAAAAATTACTAAATGAGATCATGAACCTATTATAGATAAATATTGAATAAAAGAGCTTAATGAATGTTTTATTTTAAAAGTATACAGTTTCTTGGGGGTCTTGGGTGGTTCAGCTGGTTAAGTACCTGATTCTGCACTGAGCATGGAATCTGCTTCAGATTGTCTCTCTCCCTCTCCTTTTGCCCCTCCCCCTGTGTGCACACTTTTAAAAAAAAGGCAAAAAAAGGGCAGACGCTTAACCTCTGAGCAACCCAGGCGTCCCTCACATCTTTATCCATTCATCAGTTGATGGGCCTTTGGACTCTTTCCATATTTTGGCCCTTGGATACAGGCCAAATTATATTAGGTCATAATATATCTAAGGTGATTAAGATAAAAAAAACAAATAGGCAGTCAAATAGTAAATGTGACTCCTATAGTTGTCACTAATATGATAAACATAAAAAGTTATTTAATTGGTTTATTAAAAGGAAAAAATTGGTATAGTTAGCAAATTAAAAATAAAGGTCATAAAAATTTAAGTAAAAAAGGTGAGAGTTTCATAAAATTCAATATAAAATATTAATGAAGAATATAGTTTTGGGGGCACCTGGGTGGCTCAGTTGGTTGAGTGTCCAACTCTTGGTTTCAGCTCAGGTCATGACCCCGGGGTGGGGGGATCTAGCCCCACAGCTGGGCTTCCTGCTTGGTGAGAAATCTTCTTCCCTTCTCCCTCTGCTTCTTCGCCTCCTCCTGCTTGCATTCTCTCTCTCTTTTTTTTCTGTCTCTCAAATAAATAAGTCTTTTTAAAAAAGAATGTAGTTTTCAAAAATAAGATTCTTAGCACATATGAGCACTTTAATTTGGTTACACAAAGACTTGCAAAATAATATAACAATGTGAGTTAATCAGGCATAAAGAGCTTAGAGTCTGAGAGATCATGGAAAATAGCAGAGAGGAGCTCTGAAGTGATTGAACATATTTGTGAACCTGAAAATGAAAATGTTGATGCTTGAATAATAACTTGATTTTCAGTGTTTTTCATAGTCGTTTCCTTTTATTCAGAAAATAAAGTTGAGAAATATTGGGAAAAAACCAATAAATTAATTATTGTCACCCAAATTTTGAAATAGCAAACCAGGAGTAACATACTAAAGCGACCATATTGGACTTACGCACTTCAAAGTTCATTCTATTTTAATTTTTTGTTTAAAATGAAATGAAATGTACTTTAGGAAATATAGTTAGAGATAAATCTGTTTAATTTCTCCTGAAATTTCCTTTTATATGAATTTTAAGTTATTATTAGTCATAATAATTCTTACCTTTTACTAAGAGCTTCCTTTGTGCAAAGCGTTTCCATACATTTTCTCATTTTGTGTTACTATGCCAACTTTATGTGTTACTGATCAAGTGTTCTCTGGAAATTCTTTTGAAAGGATATATAATGAAAATTTAAAACTTTTCTTATTTTTAAATTATAATAATTAAAACATGCTTTTGGAAATAACATACAGATATGTATAAAAATTATACTTAAAGAAAATTACATAAAGGAAAATTGTCTTTGGCCTCTTCAGCTGTTTCCTCTTGAAGCAAACAACATTTAGCAATTTGGGTTTATCCATCCACATCTTATTTCATGCTCCTATAAAGATATACAAATATTATATATGTGTATAAATTTATTTATCTTTGCATATACTCATACATAAATATGCAGGTACACATATGAGCACATACGTATATTTATGAAGGTGAATTGTCTCTATTTGCTTTTTTGATGACCAAAAGATGAGATAACAATATATAAATCACTTTGGTAATTGTCTCTTTATTTTTAATTTTTTTTTATTTTGAAATAATTATCAATTCATAGGAAGTTGCAGAAGTACTACAGAGTCCCAATTCCTTTTCATCCAGGTGCCCCCAGTGCTGACATCTTATATGGGTAGTGTACAATATCAAAATTAGTTTGAATCCCAACCTATGTTAACATTGGTGTATTACTGTTAACCGGTCTACAGAGTTTATTTAGTTTTCACCATTTTTAACCTGTATTCATCTGTGTGTAGAGTTTTATTGATTTCATCCCATAGTAGATTTGTGTGATCACTACCAAAATCAAGGTCAGCATATCTCCATCACCAAAAAAAGACCTTCCTCAGGTTACTTCTCTGTATCTGTATCTATACCCCCACACCATTCCCCATCTGTCCTTGGCAATGGCTAATCTGTTCTCCATCTTTATAACAGTAGTTTTGAGAATATTATATAAATGAAATCATTCAGTATGTGAAATTTTGAGATTGACTTTTCACTAAGCATAATGTCCTTGAGGCACATCTAAGTTTCTACATGAATCAATAGCTTTATTATTATAAATAATATATAAATTTTATTGCTGACTAGTATGCCATTATATGGATGTACAGAGTTTCAACCACTCACCCATTGACAGACATTGGGGTTGTTTTCAATATTTTGCTTTAAAAAATAAAGCTGCAGGATCCCTGGGTGGCGCAGCAGTTTGGCGCCTGCCTTTGGCCCAGAGCGTGATCCTGGAGACCCGGGATCGAATCCCACGTCGGGTTCCCGGTGCATGGAGCCTGCTTCTCCCTCTGCCTGTGTCTCTGCCTCTCTCTCTCTCTGTGTGACTATCATAAATTTAATAAATAAAATAAATAAATAAATAAATAAATAAATAAAGCTGCTTGTAAAAAAGTTGCAAATTGAATCCCAATTTAAAAAAAAAGCTGCAAATATGCAGCTGCTTTGCATATTTGTATACAGGTTTTTGTATGAATGTAAGTTTTCATTTCTCTGGGGTGAATGTCCAAGAATGTAATTGTTGGTGCAATTTCTGTCTCTTAAATTCAACAAGGTTAAGGCCACAAGGCTTGATGGGAGTTCTCCCTCCCTGTGTCTCAGTGTGGAAACTGCCTCCAGTAAGTAAGCTGAGCTATTGTGGGATTTACCTCATTTGTTTCCATTTTTTTGGGGATTATGGTTCCTTTCCACACCATTCCTGTTTTCTAATGCCTAATTACAGTAGTTTTCATATGTTTTGTCTGATTTTCTAGTTGTTTACAGCAGGAGGGCAATTCCTGTAAGTGCTTAATCCCTCACTGGCAGAAGCAGAAGTTCCTATCCTTTGACTTGCTTTCAAATTTTTCATCACTTTATTCCTCTGTGCAGTGCTGAGAGATTTCTTTTGAAAAGATTTTTGGCTCCTTAGCTAACTCTTTAGCTATACCCCTTTTCCCTCTTCAGTCCATCTATATAAATATTTGAACACAGTCTTTTGATTGCTTTCTTAACTCTATTTCTGGCTTATGCAGCTAGACAAATGTTGGAGTGATTTACCACATTTGTGGAAACAGCAAGAGTAGCAGGTTGGAGACCATCTTGCTCTCCTTCCAATAACTCTATGTATCAGTATTGTCTTTGCCTAATTTATAGGTCATTCTTAAATTCTAAATTTTAGAATTAGGAGGGAACCTTCATAGTTCAAAGTCCCCTCATTTCATGGGTGGGAAAAGAGCAGCTCAAGTCAGACAGCAACGGCATAAAAAATGTTGGTACACAAGGCCCCTAGTTTTCAATCTGTAATATTTCTCCATTATTGACTGGCACATAGATTCTCTGTGAGTGCATAAAACGAGACTAACTTTCTTCCTTTCCACACAGGATTTTCCCGATATGAAAAGTGCTCATTTTTTCACAATGTTGTACTTTGGTTTTACCACAGAAAAACAGGCTTCAGAGTCAAGGAAAAAAAAAGACTTTGGTTACACCCCTGACATTTGACTTTCAGTTGGAATTTGAAGAGGATATTGTTCCATCCACATCTAAGAAAGTACCCAGGATCACAGAAGACAAGTCATATAGTATTAAAAAAACAAAAAGGTAACCATCCTAACTACTTTCCATTTGGAGTTTTAAAAGCATTGCTGTAGATTTGTCTTAGATTATGTAATCTGTATTTAATGTAAGCTTGGTCAAACACAGGTATGTTTCATAGTGCTTATGAGTTGCAATATATTTAATCAGCATTCTGATTATTCATATTTTGTAAAATATTTATTATAGTATTTTACTATTATAGATAATTAGATACTAATTACAATTCTCAATTTTTAAAGAAAGACTTTTCTTGAATTCTATTACATTGCCCCAAATTAATGTCAAGATTTATTTCAAACTTTAGATCAATAGACTGCCAAAAGAAGTCCACCTAGAAAACCAAGTAAGTCAGTTTCTCTGTGTACTTACAAGGGGTAGCCTGAATATGTCCTACTTGGTTTTTCACTGGTATTCGTGTGCGTAATGCCATATGATTTTTCCAAGCATCAGAAATGGAGATGAGAGCCCAGACAAAAGAAATAATAAGATGTAGAATCAGTAGAATTTCAGTCATACATTGGTGCTAAAGTGGACACTGTTCTTACCCCCACTTACTCTGCATAACCATTCAGTGTGTTCAGTGCAGTTTTACAAGTGAAAAGTTCATCTTGGTGAGGTTAAATAACTTGCCCAAGGTCACACAGATAAGTGGCCCAAACGGGATTTAAACTCCAGCAGTGCCATTTCAGAGCCTGTGCTCTTTAACACCATCCACCCCATTCTTAATGTAGAATGACTTGTGGCTTTGGGGCTTGGTGACTCGGTACATTATGACACTTGTACTTAGAGAACATAGGATGCAAAGCAGATTGAGGTGGATAAGAGGATTAGAGTAAGAAGAGCTGGGTTTTATTTGGATATATTAAGCTTTAGATGTCTGTGGAATATTCAGGAGGGGGGCATTCTTTCAGGAAGCAACCCATTCTTGCAATGAGTCCTCTCTAGCTGTTACAAAATGATTTGCTTAAATAACAGCATGAGGCAGAAAGTTTCTGTCCTTGTGTCAATAATGATATCCTGGTTACATTGGTTATATTGGATAGTTTCAGTTCCTCCATATCTTGAGATGCAGTTCCTGGTCTCATAAATTATGGTAATTATAATTTAGGTTACTGATCTCCACCAGTAGCTCGCAAACCTCATTCCTACACCGAGCCAATATGTCAGCTCTAATTAACATAGCTTTCACCTTAGCCTAAGCTTTATGTCAAAACCTATCTGACCTGAACCAGTGACTTTCTGGCTACTGCAGGCTTCTTTCATTTTTTTACCTCTAGCCCCTTTCCTATTCAAAGTGTGGTCTTCTATTCAGTGTGGTCTTCTATCCAACATCTTGTCACTCTAGAACTTGTTGGAAATGCAGAATGTCTGACCCCCCTCTCAGACAGAAGCTGCAATTAACAAGATCCCTTAGGTGATTCCTGTGAACACTAGTGATAGAGATGCACTGCTTTAGCCCAGTGGGTCTCAAACATGGAGAGCACCTTAAAACACTGATTTCTGGGCTGCACTTGCAGAGTTTTTCATTCAGTAGGTCTGGCTGAGGCAGGCCTGATAATTTGCACATCTAGTAAGTCTCCAGGTAATGCTGGTACTACTGGTCCCAGGACCATCCTTTGTGTCTCTGCTCTAGCTTATGTGCTACTCTAATCTTGCTGCCCAACACCAACATCTGTTCGTTCTGGTTTTTTCCTTGGTTTGGTTATCATATCAACTCTCAGTCTGGTGCTGTGAGCACCTAATTGGTGAAATCCGCCCAGGTTTATTTGTAGCTGAGCTTTGCTTTTAGAGTAGTAGGTGTTTTTTTTTTTTTTTTTTAAGATTTTATTTATTTACTCATGTAAGAGACACAGACAGAGAGGCAGAGATATACGCAGAGGGAGAAGCAGGCTCCAGGCAGGGGAGCCTGATGCGGGACAGATCCCAGGACTCCACAGACATCTAAAGCTTAATGGCAATCATCTGAGCTGAAAGCAGAGGCTGAGCCACCCAGGTGCCCCTCAGAGTAGTAGTTTTTAACACACCTACATACTAGTATTGCCTGGGGAGCTTTAAAATAATTGGATTTTACTTTAATTAGTTTGGAATGCAGCCCAGGCTTGACTATTCTTAAGATTCCCCAGATGATTCTTACATAAAGCTAAAATTGAGAACCATTCAAATTCTTAGGGCTTCTTTCTCAGTTACTCCCAGAGACATATTTTCCATGTTACTATTAGTTCAGGATTTTTACATTTTTCTTGGGTAAAAGGGAATTGATAAAATATTAAAAATATCTCTTGATTAATCTGTATGTCATCTCTAAGATTTCTCTGTAAACACCAAAACTACTCTTCTCTGCAATTTTTCATAATTGGACCTTTTACAGAAGAGTCATACTCATTTTAGCAAAAATAGTAATCCCTTTAAAAAATCATCTCTCAAATAAATAAATAAATCTGAAATAATAAATAAATATATGTTTTTAATAAAAATTTGAATAGGAGGGATCCCTGGGTGGCGCAGCGGTTTGGCGCCTGCCTTTGGCCCAGGGCGCGATCCTGGAGACCCGGGATCGAATCCCACGTCAGGCTTCCGGCGCATGGAGCCTGCTTCTCCCTCTGCCTGTGTCTCTGCCTCTCTCTCTCTCTCTCTGTATGACTATCGTAAATAAAAAATAAAAAAATAAAAATTAAAAAAAATTTGAATAGGAAAGCAAAAATAGAATACAAATGAAAATTGGATTGATAATCTAGAAGGTCAAGTAGAGGCATAAACTTGAGAAAATAGAAAAAAATGAAATGGAAATCAGATTGAAAAGAGATACATAGTAGGGTTTCAGAATATTTGACCTGTAAATATATACTTAATACATAAATATATACTTAATATATACTAGGTTTCATGATATTTGACCCATAAACATATACTACATAATAAGGAAATAAAGAAATATTAGGAAAAAATTCTCTTTTTTAAAAGACATACTTGAATTTTCCAATCAAAAGGGTTACCAAGTGTGACTTAAAGTAAAATTATTTGATTATTTAATTCCAAAGGCAGAAAAAAATTGGTTAATTACAAAGGAAAGGAAATCAAATGAATTTCATATGTTTCATCTACATAATCTCCTTTTTTAGAACAGAAAAGTAATCCAGGAATCCTGTGTCTGGATGAATCATCATTTATTGATTTTTATTTTTTATTTTTGTGAATCATCGTTTATTTATGTGAACAAAAGATAGACAAATTTGGGGGTAAGAAAAACTTTAGAAGGTAATATGCCTATGTATTCTTTCTGAGGGATTTACTTGGAAAAATATTTTATCCAAATTAAAATTAAATATAATTAAAATAAAGAAAATTTTGAGAAAGTAGTCAAACAACTTTTACAAAAGTACCACCTTTAAGCTGTGTCAGAGGTTAGTTTCTTCAAAGTTTCAAAGAACTATTTAAGTGGTTTCTCAGCATAGACAAAGGTGGAATAGTTTCAAAACATGTCTTCGATTCTCAAGTCTGAGCACAAGGACATAAAACCATTGCTGAATCTCACAAATATAGATTTTTTAAAGCTTAAAATATAAAATAGTAGCTTAATTGGTTCATTTGTCTATTTTCAAATCAGGAACATGTAACATAAAACAATTTTATATTTTTCCAATTTTACTCGGATCACTTTTGGTTATTAAAAGTCTATCCAAAAAATAATAATAAAAAAATTAACAAAAGTCTGTCCAATTTGTTATTTTGATCCACATGCTACTTGAAGCTTTCTCTACCCTGTCTAGCCAGTCTATTGACATCACAGGAGCTGAGCTAGCATACCTCCACTTCTTTCTTCTTCTAATCTTTTCTGCTTCTTGCATGGGAAAATCGGTGTACTATAACCAGCTCCTAACAATTTGTTAGAGCTGACTATTGAATTTTCAGGAATTTTGTGAAATGGCTAAGTTATTATTAAAAGTTAAACGAAGTAAACTAAAGTTTCAGTGACATAATAAAAACAAAGACATACTCAAACACATCCCTTTCTAATTCTTTTACTACATTTTACTATTATCTGTGTTTTAAATCATTTTCATTTATTATATCCATATGGTGGAACTACTGTATAATATCACATTACTACATATTTCTTTCCAATTCCACATTCAGCAATGTCCCATCAGTAGCTTGAAATCAATTATGTGTGTATTTATGCCACAAATATTAACAAAAATTACAAATGGGGGCTTGACTTTTTATTTGTCTAGATTTAAGAAAGTGAGGGACAAAATGTTGATGAAGACTAAACTTCAAAGTTTGTCTTGCCTGTAGTCATTATACTCTGAATAGCACACAAAATTGAGGATATATTCTAATATTCAAAAATTATCTGGCTCAGAAAAAAGTAGCTTATGTCATTGATGAATGAAGTTCCAATATGTCTTTATTTTTTCATTTTCATGTTATTCTTTAAAGTAAATAAAACTATCAATCAACATTCATGTTGGAACTACACTTGGAGAAAAGGTTATTAAACATTTAATAACCATGCCGTATAAACAGCACCATGCCTCCCAACGTCACCCCCAGCCCTCTATGGGAGCAAGAGAGGAGGGAGAAGGAAAAGACAATGTTTCTTACTTACCTATCTACTGCTACCATCTTCTTTCTCAGTTGTCATCCTCCAGCCTATTCTAGTCAAAAAAAAAGCCTTCCTGGTGAAATGGGTGAGGATGGTCAAAAGACAGAAACTTCCAGTTTACAAGATAAATAATTACTGAGGATATAATGTACAGCATGGTGACTATAGTCAACAATACTATATTGCATATTTGAAAATTGCTAAAGGAGTAGAACTTAAAAGTTCTCACCATAAGAAAGAAAAATTTTTAACTCTGTATCATGATGGATATTAACTAGACTTACTGTGGTGTTCATTTTACAATATATACATATATCAAATAATTATGTTGTATACATAAAACAAATACAATGTTATATGTCAAATATATCTTAATTTAAAAAAAAAGCTTTTCCTATGTGCTTATGTAGTAAGCACTGTGTTAGGCACTTGGTGGTGGCATGGGAGGTGGTGTTTGTCCCAAGGGAAGAAGAGCCACAGAATTTTTATATTAGACATAGCGCTTGCCCTCCAGAAATTGTAATCCTTACAGTCCTTACAATCATCTGGTTGCAAGAAGACAAAAAAGAGCCTAGCTCTTTAATGAGGCACAGGTGACAGTGGCTCAGACAGACCAGTTCCCTAACCGAAAGAGCTTCCTTCAGCCACACCTTTTCAAATTCATCCTCAACTCTTACTTTTTGTTTTCATCCTCAACTCTTACACTCTCTCGTATATGTCACAACTTCTTTTGTTAAGGATCACTAGCCTGCCAGTCAGCAATCTATGTGAGGTACCAACAAAATGGCCCAAGCCCAGTTACAACCTCAATGTCCATTTTCCCCCTCAGAAACTCAAGCATCTTTGCCATGCCACACAATGGGATACAGTGTGCTGTGATTTCTCCTCCTCACTCCACTCTGCAAATTTGTTTTTATATAGATAGACATAAGGCAAATCCATAAGTGTACTAACAGATGTGCAGCTGAGAAATGAGATGTCAGCCTCTACCTTTTGAAGGAGTCAGTCTTTGTAAGTGATTCCTTGGGAAACCCTAAGCATCTCTGCTCACTCTGACACTGAAAAGAGAGGGGAAAGCCACAGCCAACTCTATGAGGTCAATGAGATAATTCTGATATGTACCCCCTACCCCACTACAGTTTTCTGCTCCTTGGGAGAAGAGGAGAATGGCCCCAAATATTGGTGGGTCTTTGTAGAATACAGGCTATTTTTTGTTCCTCTTACTCAGCCTTAGATAAAAAATCATCTGGTCACCCATTCTAAAACAACAGGATAAGTGCCTTTCAATAACTTACTATATTAACAAATAGAATCTAACACTATATTAAATAAACATTACTATGACTAAGTGGAGTAAATTTCAGGAATAGTAAAAAGTACTACTCACTGACCTCTTACTATATCACGAACACTTGCTAAGCACTTTCTAGACTTCATTTTATGTAATTCTTACACTAACCTGTAAGATAGTTATTACCCACATTTGGCCTGTGAAGGACTGAGATTCAGAGGAAATTAATATTCTACAGAAGTTCACATAGAGTCAAGATGCAAGTAAGGTCCAACTCTGAAGTCCATGCTCTTTGGTTCACCATAAGGATATCCATATCCAAACACCTCTATATATTCTGCAAATGTATTTAAAAAATGCCTTAGTAAGATAAGGCTAAAAAAATATCTTCTTAATGAGAGTGTATAGCCAACATCATGCTTGGGGTGGAACACTTGACACATTACCTTTTAAATAAGAAGCAGAAGGATGCCCATTCTCACTAGTATCCTACACTCTTCTAGAAGCGCTTGCCAATGATATTAAATTAGAATATAAGACAAAAATATAAATGTTTTGAAAAGAACAGATAAATTATTTTATGAAGATTAAATAATTGTTTACTGAAAAACCCAAAGAGAATAAACTAAAATTTCATTGGAATTATAAGATTATAAGAAAGTTTAATAAAATTCACCAGAACAATTTGTGCACTCAACACATTTATTACACATGTACTGTATGCCAGTCACTGTTCTAGGTGCTGAGTATGCAACAGTGAACAAAACAAACTCTGCCCTCAATTTATCTTTTAGGATAAGGTGAGGAGACAGATATTAAACTAAATGAACAAATGAATATATAATATAAATCCACTAGTGATAGATGCTGTGAAGAAAAATAGAGTAAATTAATGGAATTAGGATTGATTACTATTTTAGATAGAGAAGTAGACAGAAAAGACCTTTCTGAAGAGATGGAAATTTGAGTACTCTTAAGAAAATACTCTTATAACTTAAGGGAGTAACCCTTGGCAATAGCTAGAGGAAGAGTATTACAAGCAGAGGGATGAGCAAGTACTATGGTCCTGAAATGTGAGCTTAAGTTGCTTTCCTTAACAGCACTTTGCTTCCAGGGCAGGGCAGGGGCGGCGGTGGGGCAGGGGGGGGGGTAGTGCACAGAGAGAGGCCTGGAAGGGCATTTAATGGAAGTTCCTCTACTTAGAAACATGAAAAATGGGGAGACAGTTTCTGTCTTGGAGTGAGAATTTTGAACTTTGAGTCTAGTAGGAAATAACTGGAGGGAAATGGCAATCACATTTATATTTTAAGGGTGCCACCATGGTTGCACTAGGAATAGACTACAGAGGATGAGTGATAGCAGAGAAAGCCAACAGAAGGTGAGAGACACATGGAAGTAGCTCAGATGGGAGATGAAGGTGTCTTGGACTAGAGTAGAAGTAACACGGAAAGAAGTAGTTAGACTGGGATGCGTTTCTAAGAAAGATCTAGTGAGGTTTGGTGACAGTTGGGAATGGGGAATGAGAGAAAGAGAAATCAAAGATATTGTCAAGTTTTTGGCCTACACTTCTGGTTGAATGGAGCTGGGTAAGCCTCAAAGAGGAATAGATTGGGAAGGAAGCAAAAGCAAGGATGTGGTTTTGAATGTGTTTAGTTTAAGATGTCTATAACAAAGCTAACTGCAGAAGTCATGTAGCAGTTGGATACATAAATCAGGAGCTCAGGGAAGAGTCTGAGGGCTTATAAATAATAATTATAAATCTGGGGGACATCAGCCTATAGATAATATGTAAAGATGTGAGATGGGATGATATCAACTGAAGGTGAGTGTCTGAGTTTGGAAGACTGAGTCATGGGTTTTTCCAGCATTTAGTGGTCAGAATGGTATTAGATGAATAGTATTACATGAATTATATAATAGTATTAACTTCATTACATTGTCAGTTAAAGGATTTAGGGGAAATTTTTCCTTTACAATAAATAAATGCTGTGATCCTATCTAGTCTACTATTTTGGTATCTGAACTGATTGTTAACTGTGTCCCATGACTTTAACTCAGATCTGACAATGTCCCCAATATCTCATTTAATGTATTTCCAGAATATTTTTAAAGGGTTAATCAGCTTGTGAACTATAGTTTTCTAGAGTGCCCTCAATCCTATGACAACAGCAGCTTCCTATCTGTCTCTACTTCAAGTGATTATCACTAATATTCTCAGCTCTGGCTCAGTCCCATTCTTTCACATTTTGTATTATAATATTATTAACTTCAATAACATCTTATCTATATAACTGGGACTTAACCACATTTCTCCAAATTAATTTTTTAGATTAGTTCCATAGATTTTTCTGATTCTTTTAATTTAGATTAATTTTATTTTTTCTAGATATATCTGCTTCAAAAATGAACCTGAACCTAGAAAGAGTGATTTTGGAAAGTTAAATTTAGGACCACACATTGTATCAACAAATATAAGAACTCAAGAAAGCAAGTCAATAGGTAATGCTCTGTGTAACATGCTTCTTTATTAATGAGTGCTTTTATTATATACTTTATTATTTATTAATGTGTTTCTTAAAAGTTCTCCATGATTTGATGTCTCTGTTGAAAGAATTTGCTTGAAAGTATATGGCTTATAGCTGCAGTGTGAAAGATTTCAGTAAGCTATACAGAAGAATTTCCTAAGATACGTTAAATATCAGAATGGACAATATCTAGAAGTCACAAATTAAGAATACATTTTTATGTTTATTTTTCTAGAAAGAAAATATCTGAGTTTCCTTCATGTCAACGCTGAGTTTCCTTGTCAATGTTAAAAAAAGAAATCAGGGATCCCTGGGTGGCGCAGTGGTTTGGCACCTGCCTTTGGCCCAGGGCGCGATCCTGGAGACCCGGGATCGAATCCCACATCGGGCTCCCGGTGCATGGAGCCTGCTTCTCCCTCTGTGTGTGTCTGCCCCCCCCCCCTCTCTCTGTGACTATCATAAATAAATAAATTTAAAAAAAAATCTTTAAAAAAAAAGAAATCAGTTAACATGGGCATCTTGCTTAATAAAAACTTACTTTACAGAAATTGTAAAGTAAAGGAATTTACTTTCTTCAAAATTTAAGGAATCTGTAAGCTAGGAACTAGCCCTGCAAACGTTCAGAGAATTTTAGAGTTTTGTGTTGCCTTTGTTTTTCTTTCTCTGTGATTATCAAAGAACCACGCAATTGAATCATTCTCACTGACCCCTTTGATTGAGGCTCCTTTACTCCACATTGCCCCATATTGATTCATTTCTCTGAAACACTTCATCATCTAAATTCTCAAAGGATTTGTTTACATACAATGTCTCTATTTCCTCAACATTTGTTCAAACCTCCAACTCCAGCCTGATTTCTACCTCCACCATCTACTGAAGCTGCTCTGATCAAGAGCATCAATGATCTCCACTCCTAAGTCCAAATAATATTTCTGTTTTCACTTTCTTCTACTTCTCAATATAAATATAGTTGGTTGACTGCTCCCTCCTTAATCTCTTCTTTGGGATTTTGGAACTGCTATCTCTTGTTTTCCTACTCTATTACTCTTCAGTCTCTCCTCTTAATTTATCTTCTCCATCATTAAAATAGTGTACAGTTGACCCTTGAACAACATGGGGGTTAGGGGGACTGAATCCACTACACAGTCAAAAATCAACATGTAACTTTTGATTCCCCCAAAACTTAACTAATAACTTACTGTTGACCAGAAGACTTTCCAATAACATAAACACATATTTTATATGTATTATATGCCATATTCTTATAATAAAATAAGCTAAAGAAAACACGTTATTAAGAAAATCATGGGACGCCTGGGTGGCTCAAAGGTTAAGCATCTGCCTTTGGCCCAGGGCATGATCCTGGAGTCCCAGGATTGAGCCCCATGTCGGGCTCCCTACACAGAGCCTGCTTATCTCTCTGCCTGTCTCTGCCCCCCTCTCTCTGTGTCTTTCATGAATAAATAAATGAAATCTTAAAAAAAAAAGAAAATCATAAGAGTACCATACTGTAGTAGTTCAGGTAGTTCAACCTATGTTGTTCCAGGATCAAATGTATATCACAATTTATCTATTCTACTGATGAAATTTTTGGGTTTTAGTTTGTCGACCATTACAATGATGAATAAACATTCTTATTTATGCATCCTGCTATAAAATTTTCTTGAGAGTGTATATCTAGGATTTATATTGCCAAATATACTTATCTTCAACTATCATAAATACTGGCAAACTTTCCAAAGTATTTGTACCAATTTGTACTCCTATCAGATTTGTGAGAGCTCTTTTTGTTCTGCTTTCTTGTTAACATTCAAAATTGCTCAATTTTTATATTAGTATACATAATAGTATATCATTATGTTTTAATTTACATTTCCATGATTACCAATAAGTTTGAGAACTTTTTTGTAAGACTGTTGATCAATTAAATTTACACTTTTGGAAATCACCTGAGCTTTAACTCATTTTATTTTTAAAGATTCTGTTTATTTATCTCAGAGAGAGAGCGCACATGAGCAGGGGGAGGGGCAGAGGGAGAAAGAGAAGCAGACACCCCACTGAGTGCAGAGCCTGAAGTAGGGCTTGACCCAGGGCTTGATCCTAGGATCCTGAGAACATGACCCAAGCTGGAGTCAGATGCTTAACTGACTGAGCCACCCACATGCCCCTTACCTCATTTTAAAAGTAGGTTTGTCCTTTTCTTTTCCGTTTTTTTTCTTTTAAAGATTTTATTTATTTATTCATGAGAGATGCAGAGACATCAGCAGAGGGAGAATCAGGAGCCTGATACAGGACTCAATCCCAGCACCCCGGGATCAAGACCTGAGCCAAAGACAGACGCTCAACCATTGAGCCACCCAGGTGTTCCAGTTTTTGTCCTTTTCTTATAGATTTCTTTATGTATTCTGGTTACTAGTTTTTTGTTGGTTTTACGTGTTGTGAATATCTTCCCTTTTCTCTGTTTTGTTTTGTTTTGTTTTTCACTCTATGGTGCCTTTTTGATAAACAGACATTCTTTGACTTTAATAAAGTCAAATACACCAAATCTTTCCCCATTTGATTAGTACTTTTTGTACCATATTTAAGAAATTTTGGGCAGCCAGGGTGGCTCAGCGGTTTAGCGCCGCCTTCAGCCCAGGGCCTGATCCTGGAGACCTGGGATCCAGTCCCATGTCGGGCTCCCGGCATGGAGCCTGCTTCTCCCTCTGCCTGTGTCTCTGCTTCTCTCTCTCTCTCTCTCATGAATAAATAAATAAAATCTTAAAAAAAAAAGAAATGTTTCTCTACTTTATGGTCATGAAGACTTTCTCCTATTTATCTTATAAAATATATTAATTCTTCTTTTTATATGTAGGCCTAAAGTCTACCCAAAATCAAATTTTGAGTGAGGTAAGGGTCAAATATAATTTTTTTCATGTGAATATACAGTTATTTATGTAATTTAAAAGGCTATTCTTTTCCTAATGCTCAGGGCTCTTTGCTCTGGGGCTCTTATTCTATTTATTTGTCTATTTATCATTAATACTATACCACATTAGTTTATGTAGCTTAAAATAACTCTTGAATCTGATAGAGCAAGACTTCTAACTTTGTTATCCAAGAATATCATGGATATTTTCTATTTTCCATTATGATTTTTTTCTCCGACCCGTTCGTTATTTAGAAGCATATGTCTTTTTTCAAAACATTTGAATCTTTTCTAATTATCTTTTGACTATAACTTTTTAGCACAATGACAGGGTTGTGTGAGGATATACTCCATATGATTTCAGTCCTATGTAATTAGTTAACATGACTCAATATATAGTAAATTGTTGCAAATGCTCTGATATGCTTGAAAATACTGTATATCCTATAGTAGTTGAGTACAATGTTCTGTATATGTCTTTTAGGTCAAATTTTTTCACTGTATATTTTAACTCTTTACATCCTTATTGATTTTTCTGTTTGCTTATTCTGCCAATGAGAAATTTCAGGCTTCTATTTTTCCTTGTAGTGTAAAATTTTGCTTTATGGATTTTTAAATACAGTTTAGGTGATGTTATCAGTTACATAAAATTTAGAATTATTATGTTTCTAGTTAATTGAACCCTTTTTCATTATAAAGCAATTGTCTTACTATCCAGTATTACTGTAGTTGCCCTAGCTTTCTTTTGGCTACCATATCTTTTTCCACCATTTTATTACCTTCTTGTAACACTGTAATCTAGATTTATCTCTTGTAAATATCATACTATTAAATTTTAAAATCTACTGTGGTAATCTTTGCTTTAAAATGGAGCGCTTAGTCTATTTACAGTTAATTACTGATATCTTTAGATTTAACTTTGCTATCTTATTTTGTTTTTTTATTTATTCAGTTGATTTTATATTTCTATCTTCTCATGTTTTCTTTAGGATTGAATTTTTTAAGTTTCACTTTTCCTCTTTATTAATTTGGAAGTTATATACTCTGTTTCTATTCTTTAAATGATTACTCTAGAAATTACAATATGCGACCTTTTAAAATCTAGTGTTACCCTCATTCTAGACAATAAAAGGATCTTAGAACACTTGAATTATTTTACTGACATCTGACTTTTATGTTATTGTTAAAACCCAGAGTCTTATCTAAGTATTATCTAAATCAGACATGACTGAGACTAAAGGTATGATTCCTCCTGAGGCAAAATTCCTCTCTACCTGTAAATCTCTGGAACCAAATAATATATATATTTGCAGAATGCAAAACCCAGTTCTGACCCCCATAGTTTGATAATAGTCAGAAATAAATAACTAAAAGTCATATCCTATTAATAGAAACTCATTTTAAAAGCAAATTAGGATACATTTAGCTTTGAAAATGTAAAGGTAATATGTAAGCACCTAAGTTTATCAAATTACATTTCTAAAAAGTTTGCTAGAAGTAGAGAAAATAGTTTATTGGTAGTAAAATTAGAAGTAGTCTAATAGTATGGAAATATCATTTATGTTTGGATTTGTTTCTTTAGAGCCAGTGAAAGAAAATCTGAAATCAAGATCTTTTAGACATTTTCTTTATCTTAAGGACACAGCTGAGGTAGGTTAAATTTGTCCACTTAACAATTACTTGGAAGAAATTCAGATTAACACTAACAATTTTATATATACTTCTATAAATCCCAAATTCAAATGTATTTTAGGATTCAAAAACATAAAATTTTAAAGTGATTTCATCTTTGATATTACTAAAACTTTATGTACAGAGAAAATGCGGAAAATAATATATTATTTGCCTGACAGTCCATACAGCAGAAATTATTTATTGAATATGATAAGGAAGAACAGTTATCATAAAGTCAGTTAAAACAGGACATCATAAAAAAACTATGCATGCATAACAAATATTTCGTTTTAATTTAAAATACGAAAATATGTATCCATTTGTAATCTTCTCATGTGTATCCAAGACCATTTTTTTTTGAGCATGCTATGGTTATTTAAAGTATATAATTACAGTACTAATTACCATAAACAGGTTTGGGACCAACAATACTCTTTTTTTTTTTAACTGAAGTATAATTGAAGTATTGTACTATAAATATGCAATGTTACATTAGCTTTGGGTGTACAACATAGTGGTTTGACAACATGTTTTATTTAGGTTCATGTTTAATAAAAATCTTTCAAGATATATATATTGTAACATCAGAAGTTTACTCATAATAATAAATTTATTAGCAGGGTGCCTGGGTGGTTCAGTGGGTAAAGCATCTGCCTTTGGCTCAGGTCAAGATCTCAGGGTCCTGAGATGAAGCCCTGTATGGGGTTCCCTGCTCAGTGGGGAGTCTGTTTCTCCCTGTCCCTCTGACCCTCCTCCCCACTTATGCTTTCTCTCTCTGTCTCAAATAAATAAATACAATCTTTAAATAATAATTATTATAATAAATTTAGTAGCATCTTTTAGAAAACATGCAACATTTTAATTTAAAAAAATAAATGGAAATATTCATTTGACTTTTAAAAAATTAAATAATACAGGAAAGCTAATAAGAACACAAAGCACCTCCATCCCATATTTGTTGTTCTAATTTCCCCTTTTCAAAGGTAACCATGTTTAACTTTGCCAGGGGTGGGGTGTGGGGGGTGTAATTCCTCTTATGATTAACTCCATAATTTTAAAAAATGAGCTTCTAGTACTATTTTTTTATTTATCTACTTTAAATATTATCTACTGAATAATCAGTAAAACATATTTGAATTAACTTATTTATACTACTCTACACTTCTCCCTTGTTTTTTCTTCTGAATCTTTGTTTTTGTTTTTTTAAGATTTTATTTATTTATTTAAGAGAGAGAGCACAGAGGGAGAGGGAGAGGGAGAAGCAACTACCCACTGAGCAGGGAGCCTAATGTGGGGCTTGATCCCAGGACCCTGGGATCATGACCTGAGCTGGAGGTAGATGCTTAACAGATCAAGCCACCCAGGTGCCCCTCCTTCTGGATCTTTGATAGTTACTTTTTTGCTTTCTCTATTGTTCACTTTTGTACTGAAAAATAAAATATCTAAATATTTTTCTTTTATATCAACTTCAGTCACTAACCCCTGATTCCCCTTTACATAAGATGAAGATTTTAGCTGTCCTATCCTTTTCTCCCGCTCTCCTCCACACCTTTGTCCTGAAGTCAAGTATATCTTTGACATTATTTTGAGGTCAATTTTGCAACTCTGATTAAGCCGTCATGTTTTGTCTATAGCTTAATTCTATAAGTCAAAACTACAAACAGTATCTATGCTGTTATGATATTGCAAATAATCATTCGTTGTAGAATAAAGTAATGTGCTAGGATTACGATTCTTCTCAATGGGTAAAATGTAAAAATAAAGACTCCTTTATCTTATTCTCCATCAGTTACTCAAAAACTAATGCCATTTGTCAGTCTACATCATATTGAGAACTTGACTGTCCTGTACACTTCTGTATTTATTCCTGAATATTCTAGTTGCCTTCCTTTTTTTTTTCTTGTGGAGAATGGTAATAATAGCAAACATTTACGTAGTACTTAAAGTACCTGTATAGTATAAACATACACCTATACATGGATATATGTATATGTATGTGTATGTATAATTTACATCCCCAATGACTCAATGAAGTAAGTACTATATTTATTCCTATTTTATAGATGAGAAAAAAGAGGTACAAAGAAGAAGTAATTTGGCTGAGTTCAATTATAAATAACAGAGCTAGGAAGAACCTAACTGTCTGATACATGTTCTTTACCTATAAGATAGGCAGCCTCTGAAAAAGAAACATGAAACTTTCTCATTGTATGTGGATACAGAGACACCTTATTTGTTCTATTAAGTAGAACCCCTTCCAATCTTCTTGGAGGAATTGTTCATTGGAGCTCAGTGACTTTTTGTTCTAAATTTGACCCATTATTTTTAAGCCTGCGCTGCAATTATCACTGGGTCTTCCCATTCCTGGTTTAGTTGCCAAATTCTAGTACTCCATGTCTTCTTATTTCTTGGATTTCATCTTTATTTTTTCTAGAATATGTCTTCAAGAAACTTCTCTAAGGATGGTACACAGATGCCTGGACATATATTTATTTTTTCCATGTATATGATTGATAGTTTAGCTAAGTAGAATTATATGTATAAAATCATTTTTTCCCCTAAACTTTGATGACATTGCCCCATTGTCCTATGCCATTCAATGCTGCTAATGAAAAGTTCTCAGTCTTTTGTAAGTGATCTTACTTTTTTCCTCTGGAAACTTTTAGGATCTTCCCTTTATCAATGTTGTTTTGAAATGTTTTGAGGATATGTCTGAGTGTTGTAATTTTACTTCAATTCATTCTGCTCAGTGTTCAACAGACCACTTTAAAGTCAAATGTCTTTCTTTAGGTCTTAAAAAAAGTTTCTGTTATTTTCTTCCCCATTTCCTTTCCACTATTTTCTCTGTTCTTTAATGGTCAGGTATTAGATTTCTTGGATTGATCCTCTATATTACTATTCTCTATTCTTTGTCTCTGAATAGTTGCTCTTTATTCTAGTCCTTTTATTTCATTTTGGTTCAGTAATGACACTTTAAATTTCTTTCTTGTTCTTAGTTGTTTTTTTTCTTCTCATAGTTTCCTGTTATATTTGTTCTCAACATTTTATGAGGATATTAGGGTTCATTTTCTGAAGTCATTTTCTGTTTCTTGAATTATCTCTTTTCTGGTGTTGGTGTTCCTTTTTTTAAAATCATGATAGTTGTTTTTGAAATTATTGATTTTTATCATACCTGATAAATCTTCATTTGTTCATATTTAAGAATCAAGATATGGGTTAATCTTTCTATGAAACTGCCATTAATTTTATAAATAAACATCTCTCCAGAATTGAGAGCCAACTTTTCTGTGTATACATCAGCATTCTCATCCAGCTAGCTTAACTTTAGCATAAGAGGGTGGAGATCAGTAATCTGACTGGTAGTCTGTCCTTCAGAAGAGAGTTTCACTCTGGGAACCAAACTCACATTAGCAGGAAGTTTATTAGCGGAAGAGCACTAATTTATCCTGGGGCTAATTAAATACAGTTTCCTACAGCTTTGCATGTGGGATAGGATAAGTGGGAAATAGAGGAAGTGACAACTGGTTCAGAAATTCCAAAGAATTTCAGTTAACCTGCTTCTTTACAACTTTTGTTTCCCTTCTCACCCTAAATATCTGCCAAGTCTAAGTCTAGAGTTTCATCAGAAACTGTAATTATTTTAATAGCTCCAAGATTTAAAATATAATTGATAAATTCAATAACCACTGTTGATAAAACTACAGAAAATACTTGCTTAATATGATAAAGAATATCAGCATAATTTTAACAAGTATACCTATATAAAAACCAATAACCAATTTCATAATTAATGATAATACATTAGTCTATGACATGGCAAGAGTGACACATATCACCATTATTATTTATAAATAATCTTGTATTGTTCCCATACCAGTATTGAACAATGCAATTGGAAAAGATAATGGAAGCAGTAAAAGCTCTGGAGAATTCTGATGCAGTATGGCTGAGTAAGGCCCTATTATACCAGCCTGTCTCAGACAATGACTATAAACTCTGGACAAGAAACTCAGAAAAAACACACACACACACACACACACACACACACACACACATATTACCCGAAGACCCCAGAGAGTGAACAAAAGCAGGTGAAAAAAAAAAAACCATAGAAACTTGTAGTAACTGACTTGCATGGGGCAAAGTTGCTATTTTTATGACTTTTGGCTTGAAGGGTGGATGAAGTTGGCACTTAATGGGTCATCTGAAACTCCAACAGAAAACTGATATATTTTTTCTGGAGAGAAGAACCAGAGAGCAATGTTCAAGGCAAACCAAGCTTCTAGAAAGTGAAGGGAGGGGACTAATAGAAGAGAACTGAAGATGACAGCCAAGTCTCTCACTAACCAAGTCTCTCACTAACCCCTGAACCATGCATGTTTAGGGAGACTGCAAGTAGCCCAGCTAAGGATACAACTGAACTGAAATTTGAGCTGCTGCTCCAGAGACAGAGTGTATTTTGAACCTGACCAAGTTAATTGTTAATATAAAAACATCAAAAATCTTTATAGAGATATAGCAGATTCATCAAAGTCTCCCTCTATATTAGAGCCAATCTGGAATCCTAACCCTGGAAAAGTTAGATCACTTTTTCCAGTTCTCCCCCTTCATTCAGAAGTATTCTGCTGTATCTACTCTATGTTTGAATAATGTTTCTGTTTAAACAAAGAGGGTTTTTTGTTTGTTTTTGTTTTTGTTTTTTTGCTCAGTATTTGAACTTTAGACTTTCCCTGCATTTGGACAAATAAATTTTGCATGTGAATATAATGAGGACAAAGAAAATAAAAGTTAGCAAAAAGTGTGAACACAGTCCAATTTTTAAATTTTTGTAGATTTCTTTCCTCCTGTACAAAGTGTTATTAACATCCCTATCATAGGGGTTTGTTTGAGGATTAAATAAATATTATATTGGAAGCATTTAAAGAACTAGACAGCTGTTAGTTATCATACTTAGATATGCCAAATGTGAATAATCAAATTTAAGTTACTTATCAATATACACAGAAATAATTCCTAAGATAGTTTTTGTTTTCTCCTGATGTTCAGGTGAAGAATCCTAAACTTTTGCATGATCTATATTCACAGACTAAGCAAGCATGTAGAAGAACACTGGATCCTACAACCATTTATCCTGCACCCAAGATTCAATCCAGTGCTTACAAGAAGGAAAAAGACTCTACTTTATTTGCAGGTATATGTATATTATGTATTTATATTGAAAGAGTTATGAGGCCTTTCTTTGACTAAATGCCTCCTCAAACTGAATTGCTTATTGCAAGAGAGAGGTGAAGGACTCTCACCCACATGTCACTTCACACATAGATGAACAGAGTGTCCACCACCATCACTACCTCATTAGAGTCATGAAGAGGTTTCACAGAACATATAGTGCACAGAAACAAATTTCCTCATAATGTTTCAGGGCTCCAGCTCCCTCACTAGCTTGCTCAGGCAGCTGAATGCCTGAATTCGTAACATACGGTAATATCTGGATTCACCTATTAATTTCTAAGGGGAGAATTTAACAATATCCAGATAAACAGAGTGTCCAAAGATTTCCTTCTATTATTTTTGAACTAGTATCAAGCCTGGATTTAAGTGTCCTGATTCAAAGATGAGTAGATGGAAAAACAAGAACATGAGACTTCTTAAATATCCTGTAGCAAATAAAGGAGATACTTTAAAAGATAGCTAATGGTCACAGTCTGACAGAAATTGTACCCCATGAAACAGGAAGAAATTTAGACAATAACTGTTTTATAAGCTCAAGAGATTAAAGAAAATAAGGATTCTGTGAAACAAGATTCAAAGATATAAAAGGTAATTGTCAAAAATGAAATGGTGCTGTCAGTGCTGAAAATATTTTTAGGGTAATGGGTAATGATAAAGCACAACCTAAATTATATCAAACGTAATGAAGAGTAGAATAAACATCCAAATCAAAGATCCGAAGGGCAGATTTAGGAAAATCACGCAGAATGCAATGTAAAGGAACAGAACTATGACTGGTTAAGAGAAGATAATACATTGAGGGAACAAAACTGGTATCCAACCCTGAGATAACCAGTGTTTGGAAGAGAGACCAGAACAAATTGAATGAACTTGCTGAAAAAGAGCATAGGGAAGCTATCTTGGAATAATAGAAACACTCAATATATTGATTTTGTTGATGCTTCCATTAGTGTATATATATTTGTCAGAATTCACCAAACTATACATGTAGAATGTGTACATTTAGTTGCATGCAAATTTTACTTCAGTAAGTTAAAAAGAAAGCAAAAGATTAATTCTGCAAAATTCTAAAACACCAGAAATAAAATAATCTAAGGGTGCCTGGCTGGCTCAGTCAGTTGGATGTCCAACTCTTGGTTTTGGCTTGGATCCTGATCTCAGGGTCATAGGGTTGAGCCCTGTGTCAGGCTCTGCCCTCAGCACAGAGTCTGCTTGAAGTTCTCTCTCTCTCCCTCTGCCCCTCCCCCTGCTTGCACTCTTGCACTCTCTCTCTAAATAAATAAATGTTGGGAAGCAGTGCACTAGAACACAAACTGAGAGCAAGAGAAAAGTTGAATTTACTGCTAATAGCATATGTGTCTAGGAACACTTCTAAGAAAGTAGGAAAATGCTGGAGGGCCTGCCAGGCATATTTGAAAGAGTTCAACCCTAGACACTTCCTTCGTGCCAGGTGGCAAGGTCAGTTTGATCTCTGCTAACTAACATCCCTCTTTACCAATAGTGTTTAACCATCTGAGGCTTCCTATTGTCTAATAATGACTACATGTTGGAAAGATTTGAAAATTTAAGAATGTCTTTCTTCCACAAAAATCTCCAAGGCCAGTTTTATTCTTGATGTGTCTTAGCCAGACATCAGATCTTTGACCTCAGTCTTTTCCAGTTCTGTCTTGTTCACTTAATAAACTCTTACTTTTAAAAAAAATGTCTTACTAAGTAGTTAAATAGATTAAGCACTATGCCAGGTGCTTTCTATTGTTTTTTACACTGTAAAATATTTTCTGTAAGGTATTTTCTGAATTCCATGATATATGTGTGGATTTTATGAAAATATTTTATAATTTCAGCTCAAACTGGAGAAAACCCTGAGGAATCATTTGATTTGGCTGGTCGCTTAGAAGATTATATCAATAAAAGGTATTTATTTTAACATTTTCATATTTTATTGTGTTCATTGATATTTCTAACAGGAAGAATTCTGCCCTTTATTTTTTAGTAGACCAGAATGAATTTATTTGGGTATATTATTACCATTAGGCCTGTACTATGATCCTGTGACTGGTCTAAGAGTGTGCTACTAGTCAGCATCACATTCATACCTTGAACTCATGCTCTATCTGCTTCAAGTTCATAGGCCAATGGAAAAAAGACATAGAAAAATGAATGGAGAGAATACAATTGTGTTTTTCTAGTAGAGACACATTTAATTAGACTACCATATGGATGTAAGAAAAGTAGCTCTGTAGTTTCATATAAAGTTCTGATCTTTCTTATTAGATCCTGAAACTAAGTAAAATCATGTTAACCTAGTATGTTTTAAACTTTGGAGCAAACATATACAGCCTCTCTAAGTTTATCTCAGTCCTTCTGTTTCTTTCTAAGATGATATCTGGGGAAGCGAATGAGATACCCATTAGACTTTGTGATGTTGAGGAAAAGGTACTTCAGCAAGCATCTTGGTCAATGCCCTTGTACTCTACTGGTCTCATTTCTAGGTATTCTGAGGCTGTGGACATCTGTGGTTCATGAATATATGGTCTATTCTCTCAGAACTTGGTTAGGGTCCATTCTCAACTCTCATTACTATGGGAGAACACTCTGAGCCTCTGTCACAACCTTATCTGTCCATCACTCATGCCAGGCCTTTGATATGGGCTAACTCATCCTGGAAATAGCAACCAACTTGGTAAGACTAAACTCAGTGTCCATGTCCTATGTGAACCAAAGGAAATCTGGAATGAAAACTACATTGTCTTTCTGCCTGTAACCATACCATACTGTTGCATTCTGTTAACAAAGCTGAGGCCAACCTATGTTGTTAGGAAGCTGCCCTTGCAAAGCTCTTTTTACCCCAGAATCTCAACAAAGAATATGACAAATATCTCTCTACCCCTGGTATTCTCCTCACCCTGCATAATATATCTCCTCCACACTCAAGAGCCAAAGAGGCATATATATTATTGTATAGCTTCCACCTCAGCTTGGATTTGAGGGAAGTGTTGGCAGTGACTTTGAGGGATTGACAGACAGACAAGAAGTGACAAACTGAAATCAACACTATCATTATTTATGCTGAACTTGTTCTCATTTTCAGAAGAAAATCTCCCCCACAGACAGGTGATTTTAGCAAAGAAGAAAACAAAACCATCAGAAATGATCAATTAAGTGAATATTGTTCCATAAGAAAGAAAAATTTGCTCCCCTTGTGCTTTGAGGATGAATTGAAAAGGCCAAATGCCAAGATAATCAACATTAGTCCAGCAAAGACAGTAACTTCTCATATGGTAATGGTAATAATATCTATTGTAGTTCAGTAAATATGTGTATAATTACTCCTTTAAAGGAATCTTATATTCTAATGACTGGAATCTTTGATAAATTCTTTTTACTTTTTTGGGGATCCTTGGGGGGCTTCAGCGCATACCTTTGGCCCAGGGCATGATCCTGGAGACCCAGGATAGAGTCCCACGTCGGTCTCCCTGAATGGAGCCTGCTTCTCCCTCTGCCTGTGTCTCTGCCTCTGTGTGTGTGTGTATGTCTTTCATGGATAAATAAATAAATAAATAAACAAATAAATAAATAAATAAAATCTTAAAAAAAATTCTTTTTACTTTTTCAATTTCACATTGCAAAGTGACAACACTTCGATTCTTAATGCTCTTTTTAGAACTGCCACCCCAAAAGTGGGGATTCCTTTGCAACAGCTGAAAGTTTTGTGTTTTTCTTTATGAAGAAGGCTTATAAAATTTTCTTGATTATAAAAGAAATATAAAACAAAAATGGCATTTTTAAAAATGACTGCATTATATTTCACCTTTCTAACAATCTATTTTAGCTTTTTGAACCAGAAAATACATGCATTTAAGGCTATTTGGTAGCTCCCAGAGTCTCTAGGAAGGCTAAGACAATCTGGCTTGAAAGCTATACAGTTAGGAGTCACCCAGTTACAACCCCAGACTGCTCCACCAGGACCCGTGCTTTGTTATGGAGTTTGTGACTTTGATTCTGGGCAGGAGATGATTTTTTTTTAAGGTTTTATTTATTTATTCAAGAGACATAGAGAGGAAGGAAAAGACAACAGACAGAGAAAGAAGTAGGCTCCCTGTGGGAAGCCTGATGTGGGACTCAATCCCAGGACCCCGGGATCATGACCTGAGCCAAAGGCAGACGCTCAACCACTGAGCCACCCAGGCATCCCAAGAGATACTATTTTTAAGACCTTTGCCACTGCTGCCCTTCAAAGCAGGTATACCTGCTACCATTCTCACTAGAGTAGCTTTCATAATGCCCACCTTTTCCTAGTGTTTGATTTCTCTGAATAGAAGACTATCTCAGGTATATCTGATTGACAGATCCTAGGTCACATGCCTATGTTCTAATCTCAAGGGAGGCTTAGAAAGCTAGTCTTTGCCTCTATGTAAAAGTACATAGATTTGTAAGGTGGGAAATTCCCAGAGGTATTGGACAGACCAAAAATAGGACAGATCTCCACTACTGTGGCTAAATGGGTAAAACTGACATCCCAGTGGATTGTAAAATTATATTTTCATCATCTTTTTAGTAATTGTAGACAATAATATACCTTTCTCACTAAGTATACTGATGTACAACTGGATAATCCTGGTTTCTTACTTCATTAGTTATATTTCTAAAGGAAAGGTAGCAATCATTGACTTAAAGTTTGCTAAGTAAATACAGGTAATATGTATATTTGACCAGTTTCTTTGGAATTAATCTTTTTGCCCTACAATGGAAATATGGGAAGGAGTTTAGTGAATAGGTCAAATATACAAATTTTGCTACTGCTGTGACAAAATAGTCTATTTTTAAGTCAATCTATTACTTTGGGTATTTCATTCCACAAATATATATTGAGGCTTTTTATGTGCTAAGGGTTGGAGTACAAGAATAAATATAATGTTGTAAAGATATTTTTATATTCTTAGAATTATTTATTAGAATATCCAGCCTTTGTAATTTTGGCTTATAATTAATTATGTCTCTTAAGATCTTTGACTCAAGATTCATTTTTTTTTTGGTATGCTTCTTATTTCTGAATGTGGGACCTAAGAAATGCCAGAACAATGTTCCATCCCACCAACTATCCTATTTTTCCAATGACAACATTCACACATCTAAGAAGTGTATTTATTTTGTCATATCTCACTTTATTCAAAAAGGGTTTTAGTAGGCCAGAAATTCAGATTTTACCCCTAACATTTTGACAGAATATTAAGAGAAGGAAGTATGTCACATACAAGTACATGTTTTTTTTTGTTTGAATACCATTATTGTTCATATTAAAAACTTCTTAGTAGTCATTTTTAGAATATCTTATTATTTTATTTTCATGTTTAAAAATATAGGTAGCCGCCTTGACTCACTGGACTGGTGACTAAGTAGTCTTTTCTTTTAATCCACAGGAACAAAATGACACAAATCCCATAATTTTCCATGAGACTGGATATGTACAAATGTTACTTTTGACAAAAAATAGGCTTCCTCTCTATCCCATGGAAAAGGAAAACATTTACCCACATAAAAGACCAGATTTTGTTTTAGAAAGAAATTGTGAAATCCTCAAATCTTTAATTAGTGATCAGTGTATTATTCCTTCCAAACCTAAAAGAATTATGCCTACTGCATGGAAAAGAGATATACGAGCACTATCTTTGAAAGTGGGCCATAGAGTTGTAGAGGGTAAACTAAAGAAGGAAACGAGTAAGCAGACATTTGAAAACATATCCTGGAGCAAACTCTATGATTTCTCACAGACTTTTTCCAGCCTAACAAAAAAATTTGTGGGCTTCTTTGATAAAACTGTTATTCAAGAAATGAGTGCCAGACATGGCAACTTGGAAAGAATGTTTTCTACAGTAAAACCAATTAGCAAATTCAGTGCCTTACCTGTCAAATATGGCTCAAAGCCTTTAAAAACTATACTCGAAGTTCATAAATTAAATAATATAACACCATTGGATGATTTGTTAAAATAGTCAAATGAAAATTAGACACCTCAGAAAATATTGTTTATACAGCAATATTTAGTAAAGAAAATCAAATAATGATGTTCAAGATCATAGAAGAAGAAGAAAAAACAACAAAGATCATAGAAGAAATTCTTACAAAAATAATGTGCAAATGGATGCTATAAGAAAGCAAAGCATAGACACTGGAATTACAAGTCAACAGTCATCTGTTCAAGAAAAGCCAACATTTTTAGTAAATAAAAGTACAAAATTAGGAAATATTTATCAACAAGAACTAGTTCATGAATTTTTATGATCTCAATTAGATTCCTCAATCATCAGCATTTCTACAGTAGTCTGATTTGGGACCAAGAATGGCACAGACTGTTTCTGGAAATTTGCTGTTAGAAGCCAAATAACATCAATAACTCTTGCTTAATAATTGAGTATCAAATAAGACAAATGTACCATTAACTTGATGCATGTGGAACTAATCGTGTATCAGCATTTTGGATAACCACTGGAAAATAGTCTTACATTAGCATTTCATGCAATTAAAAAGACTGTAAATTTTAAAATAGTTTTTTGTTAGTAGACATTGGAACTTCCTTGCCATATAATGCCTTTTCCAAGTATAACTTTGACTTTTTTCAAAATTATTAAATAATTTAAAAGAATAGCTTAAATAAGCTAAAAAAATGTGATACCAAATCCTATAAAGTATTGAACATTACATATATTATTATATTGCTGTTTTACTGTTTCTAATTAACCCAAACAGTATAAAGGCAGAATTCAAATTAGAAAAGAATTGTATTTCAAAAGTTTATTTTTAATCCATTTGTTTTAAAGAATTTTTAAAAATCTGAGCTGTTAGTATGTAAGGAGAAGTAGGTTTAATTAGAAACATTTCTGTTAGGGGAAGGCTGTGGGGGCCTTTGGAAACTTCCGAAGATGAAGACATAAATTTGTTCAGGTTCCTGTTTCTACTTCAGGGTGGAGGGTTTTTTTTTTCATGTGCCAAGGCTGCTCTTGGGCATCTCTTCCCAATGAGAGTCAGGTTTTGGCTTTAAAACAGAATGACAAGGGGAAAACATGGGGGGGGAGGGGTTAAGAAAGAGGGGAGCAACTGGGGACTCTGTAAATGAGGAAGAGCAAGAGCAAAAGGACAACAATACCTTATTACAGTATTATTATTTTCATTTTAAAAAAGATTTTATCTATTTATCCATGAGAAACATACAGAGAGAGGCAGAGACACAAGCAGAGGGAGAAGCAGGCTCCCCTTAGGGAGCCAGATGCAGAACTCATCCCAGAACCCCAGGATCACCACCTGAGCCAAAGGCAGATGCTCAACCACTGAGCCACCCAGGCGCCCGTATACTATTTTCAGTGTTAAAAGTAATGTGCAGTACCTGAGTACTTGAGTGTAGTAAACATTCATTAAAAATTCCCTTCCTATTTTCACTTTTTCCTGTGCTCTTAATATAACATCTTAAAAGATGCTCCCAGAAGTTATGCTTCAGTCTTTTTGAAGTTAAATGCTGGACCTAACTATAGTATTCGAATTTTAGCTCAAAGGAGACACAAATTAGAACTAAGGATTTTTGTATTCGTTATTTTTTGAACTTTCTGCTGTAACTTGTGAGCTTTATCTTTTAGGAAGGCATTAAATCAATTTAAAAATTCAATTTGGCTGAGAATTCACTAAAACAGCTGGACAGCTGGGAGCAGTGGATTCTGGGAAGGTACTGACCTAAACTCTGCACCTTTCTCTTCTATTCTCAGCTTCCATCTGTCATCTTTTAAGCCAAATAGCTGCTGAGGTCATCAAGCAGTGGGGTGCAAGAATAGACAGGGTTCCTAATTCGATGCTGAGATCTGTGTATGGCCCTGGAGACCAGACTCTGAATCACAAGGCATTGATGGAGGTTGTGCTGTCCTGAGACCAGCTGGCCATGGGGAGCTGTGGATTACCCAAGAGAAAAATTGTCTTTGGTCCTATGTGTTTCTGGTCTCACTGGCCCCAAGAGGCCAAAAGGAACCACTAAACCTCTGAGAAAACTGAGTAGTCAGAGGTCTATGAATTTTCCCTCAGATGCCTCACCAGGGGATTGTGGTCTGCTTGCTTCTATAGCACCACTGCATAGTGGGCAAGACTTTACCTTAACAGTACTGTAGTCAGTAGATATTGCCAGAAACAGACCTGCGCTTCCCCGAACCAATTTAGAAAAGTAACAATCCATCAAAAGGCACCCTGCAGCAGCCAGTGGCCAGCCAGGCAAGACTGTAACAGAGAAAAGAGTAAATTTATGAAAATTGCCCAGAGATCTCATTCAGGGTTGGGGAGGAATATGTAAACAAAGTAATTCTGTAGGATTAGCAGTGAAAAAAATAATTAGAAAAAAATAAATTGTTTCCTGTTACCTAACCCTGCCAAATCCAACTCTTTCGATAACCAGCTGTAAAATAAACAGAATACACAGAAACCGCTAGAGGAGACAAGAAGAAATTTGACAAGAAAAGTAATACAAAGATTCAAGTGCAGCACACTATACACACACACACACACACTCTTACACACTCATTATACTATTTTCTTTAAGATACTGGTTGCATTTGTTATTACCTCCAAGTATAATCTTGATAGAAGAGTTAATGATTGATTGAATAGAGTATATCATAAGACTTCCAAATAAAAGGGGAAATGGGATTAATATGACAAAACAAAGAAAATGAAAAAGAACAAATATAAATAAATCCCAAAAATATTGAAATCAACTATCATTATGCTATAATTATACAGATTGAATTTTCCCATTAAAAGATAGAGACTTTCAGACTAAGTTAAAAAAAATAGCACTTAACTATACACTGTTTACAAGTATATTTTTTTAAAGATTTTATTTATTTATTTATTTATTTATTTATTTATTTATTTATTTATTTATGAGAGACATACAGAGAGAGGCAGAGACATAGGTAGAGGGAGAAGCAGGCTCCCTGTGAGGACCTGAAATGGACTCGATCCCAGGACTCCGGGATCATGCCCTAAGCTGAAGGCAGACGCTCAACTGCTGAGCCACCCAGGTGTCCCTATAGGAAATATAGTTAAAGCAATAAAGAAATCTTGAAAATAAAGGAGTGAGGAAAGAGATACCAGACCAGAGAAACAAAAGAAGTGAGAGTGGCATTATTAAGATCAGATAATTAAAATTTAGGGTTAGAAACAGTAAATAAGATGAGGACCTTATACTTTATGTAATAATAAAAGCACAAAATATGACAACAGCATCTTTGGTGCCCTATGTATGTGCCAAAGAAGAAAGAGGCTAATGTATAAAGTAAAAACTACTGGAAATCCCAGGAGAATGTAATAAATATAAAACTATAGTGGAGGACCTCGGTTTGTCTCTTTTAAACAGGTAAAACAAGTAAAAAAGTGTGGATGCAGGGATGCCTGGAGGCTCAGTGGTTGAGCGGCTGCCTTTGGCTCAGGGTGTGGTCCCTGGGTCCTGCGGATGGAGTCTCACATTGGGTTCTCTGCAGGGAGCCTGCTTCTCCCTCTGCCTGTGTTTTTGCCTCTCTCTTTCTGTCTCTCATGAATAAATAAAATCTTTTTTAAAAAGTATGGATACAAAGTAATTATATAATGCAATTAATAAGGTTGATGTAATGAATATAGACCTCTGTTTCTTTGAAACAGAGAGAAAAGATTTTGAGATTTGTTCATAGAAAATTGATTATATTGTGGGTTACACAGAAACACACAATATTTTTTCTTTCTTTCTTTCTTTCTTTCTTTCTTTCTATTTAAATTCAATTAGCCAACATATTTTCTTTTTAAATAAAGGCAGAGATTTTATAAAAAATAATCCAATAAAGTTAAGAATAAACATAAAGCAAAATCCAATTTATCTACTATTTGAAAATAAAGGATGAAGAAGAAATCAAAACTTGAATTATAAAGTAGAAAATGAAAAGGAAACCATTTCACTTCAATACCTGTGGCACAACAGCTAAAGCTAGTTCAAAAGAAAAAGCCAAGTTTTCATTTCCCCCCACTCTTTCTCCTGCTCTTCCTCCTCCTTCTCTTTCTTGCTAAAAAAGCATTTAGTGAAAAGGATCCCAAGGTTCTCATCTCAGGAAAATAAAAAAAGCAAAAAATAAGCCACAAGAAATTATGAATAGGAAATTAATACAAAGAAACACTAAAAATACTTAAGTAGAAATAAAAATATAGTGTAAAGGGATATATTAAAGTAATACTTATTTTGTGTGTTTTTAAATACATTAAAATACATAAGCCCTTCTCAAGCCTGATTTAAGGGAAAGGAGTAAAAAAGTAATATAAAATTATGAATGAGAAAAAAACCATAGATATAGAAGAGAGGAAAAGAATCAGAAGAAATATTACATAAAAACTTATGCCAAGGGCAGCCCTGGTGGCCCAGCGGTTTAGCGTCATCTTCAGCCCAGGGCCTGATCCTGGAGACCCTGGATTGAGTCCCACATCGGGCTACCTGCTTGGAGCCTGCTTCTCCCTCTACCTGTGTCTCTGCCTCTCTCTCTCTCTGTCTGTGTTTCTCATGAATAAATAAATACAATCTTAAAAAAAAAACTTATGCCAAAAAATTTGAAAAATCTAGAAAAAGTGGGTGATCTCCTATCAAAAAGGACATGATCAAAATTGACCTCTAGGAATGGATATTTGGAATAGACTAATTTCCTAGAAGAGTGACATTCACCAACTAGATGAATTCACAAGCCATTTTTCTTACTTTATTATTGAAGTCAGTGTGGTGGGCAGAATTTCAAAAATGTCTCCCCAAGATTCATGTCCCTTGTTATTCAATCAAACATTAACTTAGATACTGCTGTGAAATGATTGTATAGAAGGATTTAAGGCTACTAACCATCTGACCTTAAAATATGGAGAATAATCTGAATTACTGGTGGACACAATGTAATCATATGATCCCTTGAAAGCAGAAGAATGCAGAAGTCAGACAAATATGGCAGAAGAC